AAATGTCTTGTGGTCACCAAACCCCAGCTACCAAAAAGGTCAAGCTTGGGGAATGTACCTACATTCTCCTTTAGAAAACAGTACTGAAGGACATTGTTTTATGGTTTGTTTCAACTACTATTCCCTCACCGTGTGGTGTCAGACCTTAAATTAACAGTATCTTACAGGAGGGGAAGGAAAAAGGAGAAAATCATGGCAGATTTTAAATTGTCCTGTTTTGTTATCTCTCAAGACTGCTTAGTTGGACTTGTCCCATTGACATCTGTTTTCCTAGATGCAGGAGTACGAAAAATAGTACCAATACCTTAAAAACAAAACAAAGCCCACAAAAATACCAAACAAACAAAAAGACCCCAACAAAAACAACACTTCCATGCCAACTTTGACACTTCTACTCTCTGACCATTTATACAGTAGCTCACAGACCTTGGCGTAGTAGAATGTGGTACACAGTGGTACAAAGCAAAGGTTTTGCTTTGTTCTTTAGAAGGTGCATATCCACTCGAGGATTTTCTATGTTTGTAAAACACAGCTGTACAAAAATCTGAACTAAATTTGTGCTTGTGAAAACCTAGGCGTGCAGCTGGTGGTAGTTTGGGGCAAAACTGGGGCCTGACGTTTACATTAGGAGCAAGCAGTGTGTCTGCCCTCGATGCCCTTGCGAGGATGAATATACTTGAACCCTGATGATTTTTACTGCACAAGAAAAAAGACTGCATCCTTGGAGGAAAGAGGTAGCATGAGACAGGGGCAGCAGAAGCTGGGAGGTACTCAGAGAAGCGAGTGATCATTCCAAGTCTTGGTACAACTCAGGACCCAGTAGGGACCCCGGTGTCTTTTGTGGGCTGATCAGTATTGCTAAACTGGCCAGACAGATCAGATGTCTGAGGCAGAGGATCTTACTATGCCATCGACTCGGCGTGTTTTTTTGAGCAAGTGCCCTCAAGTGTCTTCCTGCTGCAAGAATGGGTGATGGATGTAACTTGTTTAACATGATCTGGGGATGTGTGTTGTAGCAAGGCTTACATTGATTGCCTGTCCTCTGTGACTTGGTACAAAGGTGATAAGGTTTTCTTCTGTAATGGAAGCAAATGTGAAAATGAAGCACTGAACAATGTATGTTTCGGCTGATGTAGAAGCTGATAGGTTCTATGTTGCTCCTGTAACTCTTGTCCTGCCACTGTGTTTTCCATACCTTTCTTGGGGATTGCTGCAATACAAATATATTTTTTAAGATTTCATTTAATATTCT